GAAGCAGTCCCAATGGTTCATCACCGGAGACATGCGATGGAATTTTACTTAGGAAATTTTACTAAGTCCACAATCACGAGCCTCCGGTGATTCTACAACACGGCCGAAGGGTCCTGGTCTGGTCTAACTTAGAAAAATTTCTAAATCCACAACTACAAGCCCCCAGCAAAGCAAACCTATACTATAACCGAAGGCTAGTTGACAAAAGTTCTCATTTGGAAGATCACTCATATGCAAATACAAAAAGAGGCGAGAGCATACATTCAAAAACGAAGCATTCAATATAACAAAGCCCGGAGGCATATCATTCATCATCAAGAGTTGGAGTTTACAAGAAATGTCATTACAATACAAGGCCGAAGGGCGGCACTATCAACTACAAACAACAAGGAAGGTAAAGCTAAGTATCGGCAGTTTGAGCCCCCTCCTCGGCAGTCTTGGAAGTGGCATCCTCCCCGGCCTCTTCACCGCCTTCCTGCATGAGCTCGGAGTCTTCAAGATCCGGCCTTTCTTCGCCCTCAGGAAGAGGGACTCTTACATCTGGCTGCAGAGGGGGGAGCCCATATGCCGCGGGGTCGAATGCCTTCGGCTCGAGTTGGAGGTGCCTGGCTAGCCTCCGGTAAATGAGGTTTTGAGTAAAGAACTCGCCACCGTCATAGTAATCCTTGCCCTTCTGGGCTAGCCACATGGCCCCGGGGCCCTTCACCCAGGAGTCAACCTTCTGCTCCACCACCGAGGCCACCCACCCCTCGTGGTCCGATGCCGTCCAGCCCTCGGCGAGAAAAGCCTCAACTGCTTTCTTCCTCGCGTCGGCCATCGCTTCAGCCTTTTCATTTTCGGCGGCCTCGGCAACAGCCCTGGCAGTGGCGGCGGCAGACTCCTCGGCGGCGGCCTTCCCCTTGGCCTCGGCATCTTTCAACCTTTGCTCGGTGCCCTCCTTCTCCAGCCGAAGGGCTTCCTCAGCATCAGCAAGCCTTTTCCTGAGGGCCGCCCGCTCCTCATCAGCTTTCCTCAGGGCCTCGTCAGCCTGGATCTTCGCGATCCGCAGCTGCTCGACCCTTCGGGCCTGCTCAGACGCGGCCAAGGCAGCCTGCGACACAGATACAAACGTTTGTTACAGAGGTAGATTGTGGGAGATTGATACAAAAGTAAAGAGTGAAGGCAACTAACCATGGTGCTGTAGCTTGCCACCTTGTAGTCGAGGATGTCATCCTCGTAACGGGCCAGCACAGACCTATCCTTCGATGCCATCACACCCCTCAGAAACCCGACGGGGTGGAGTGTGCCGTGAAGGACGGAGGTACCCGCCTTAACGGGGAACTGGATGAGCTCCGCCTGGCAAACCTCCTCGTCGACATGTGCCGGGGGGGAGCGAGGGGGGGTGTGCGCCAAAGGATTGGAGGGAGGTTGCTCCTCGGCGATGATTATGGGGGCATCTTTCTTCCCGGCGGCCCCCTTTTTCTGCTTCTTCATTTCCGGGAGGGCAAGGGCTTTGCCAGCCCTCTTTCCCCTTAGCTCCTCAGCCTGGGAGCCGCCGGTCTCAGCATTTGCGGCAGCAGTCGCTACCTCCTTTGTCGGCTCCCCCTGCGGCAGGGAGCCTTCGGTCCTAGGGAAGAAGCCGTCGACGGGTTTCTGCTTCCCCGCCTCCTTCTTCTTCGGCTCCTTGGCCAGCTTCTTCTTCAGCGCGGCAAATGAGCTTACGTCCATAGCTTCACCTGAGACAAAGAAAATACACAGCTGTTAGAATGCAAGTGCAACATGGAAATATTACTAAGTACAGAAATCAGGAGCCCTCGGTCACAACCTCCGGCACTCTGGTAGACGCGGTCAATAGGAGGGTATCTCTCATCCCTCTCCCCCGGCAGGCGGTATCGCCGGAATTCTAGCCTGAAGAGATCTTCGGGGAGCGTGGCGGCTTTGATGGATATCAGCTTCTCAGATCCCGGAGGTTTTGCCGTTAGCTTTCTTCCGTTGCCCTCGAGAGCAGCATTCCCAACCTTGAGGTGCCTACGGAAGTGGTTGCGGAGGGGCCTCGGGAACTCAGCCCCCAGTACCCGGAGGTAGCAGAACTTGTCTTTCCACCCCTTGTGGGACGAGGGCACTTCCGAGAACAGCCTCCATCCCGGGAGCTGTTGGAGATTGGCGAATCCCTCACTGTTGGCGGCCCCCCCCCCTGCACAAGTTGAAGGAGAGGAAAAATTGGTCGAGGGTAGGCTCCACCCCCCGGGAATCGCACAATGACAGAAACCCCGCCAGGTAGGAGTGGCTGTTAGGGGTCAGCTGGCAGGGGGCAAGTCCTACGAACCGGAGGTACTGCACGACGAAGGGATGCAGCGGGAACCTAAGGCCGAGATCCACGGACAGGATATGGGCGGAAAAGCACCCCTCGGGAGGATGAGACAAGAGATCCTCCGGGCCTGGTTCAATGACCTGCGCCGAGGGCCCTACCAGGAACTGCGTGGCCTGATAGTCCGAAGCCACAGCCGTCGTCTTCAGTTCGAGGGCGTCAGTATTCAGGTAGGAATGCCCTTCGGGGATGCCCACTGGCTGGCCAGCATCGACGGCAGCGGATTTCTTCTTCGAGGCCGCCCCGCTCTTCTTCCTTTTCTTCCCGGAGGCCACCCGAATAGGGTCAGGATTCAGAGGACGAGAGCAGCTCGCTTCCTCAGCATGCGAGGGCAGGATGGCGATGGTCACCTGTTGCCTCTCTTTTTCTTCTTCCTCTTCGGCAACTTGGAGCGCGAGGGCTAGCTCCTCATCATCCGCCACTTGTTCGAAGTCTTCGGCCTCAAGCTCCGCGCGAAGATTGTTTTGCACTTCTTGGGCCACCACCGCATCATTCCCCACCGACGATTGCTCACTAGACGACTCCACGTCCGAGTAGCTCTCCTCTTGTGCCGACGGCTCCCCCGAGATATCCTGAGAATCGCTTTGCGATGACATTGTTTCCAACCGAGAGGTGTTTGATTGAGAGGGTTACCTAAAAGTTGGGCCGAGGGATCCTAAGATCTCTAAACACTCGATCTAAGGGTAAAGGAGCAAAAAATGCTAAGGCAATAAGAAACGAGGCAAGAACTGACCTTGTGACTTGGGGTTTGATCAGAAGAAGCACTTTATCTCTCTAGGAATTTTTGCAGAGCTCCGCTATCACTCAGGTTCGCACAGGAGAGAATGAATTCGGCTTGGGGTATATATAGACTTTGGGCCTCGAGAACTGGGCCTCGACTTGAAAGCGCCATCATTACGCGCCTCTCCATCACCCAATGGGTGGCAGCCGCCCCCCTTCAGCCAACCGGCGCATGCCACGTGTACCCCTCTTCCAACGGCTCTATTTCAACGGACATGTTTCCGAATTGCCGGGTTGCCCCCAGGTAATAGCCTCCGCCTATCACCAACTACAGCCTCCGGTGCATGTTTTCACCGGGCGCCTTCGAGCGATATAAGCCTTCAGCTTACCAGGCTCTTCTTAGTCCCCCCTGTCAATGGCACCCCTCGGGGTTACGCTCAAACACCATAACTCCTTCAGCCCGAACTTGCCTTCGGCCTAAAGGAGTGGGGGACTGGGATACACCCCTCGGGCATCTTACAGAACAAAAGTTTCTTCATAAGTAATGCATACAGCCCCCGAGCAAAGGAGGAATCAGCACGTAACCCGGTGCACCCTTCGGCAATGGCAAAATAAGATATCAAAAGTTTCCCTCAGAAGACCCTCGACATGTGAGGGACTGAGGGAAGCCTTCGGCTAACAGCGGAAGGCAAATTCTCAAGCGGGGGCGCCCAACAAAAGTGATGAAGCCTCCGGAGGAATCAGCACAACTACTCCTTTTCCCTCAAGTACCTTTCGGCAAAAGGAGTGAGGGACTCCTGATGGAGTATATGGCCCAGGAACCCCCGGCCCATAGACTCCTACTTCTCCTGCACAAGTCCATTGAGCCCAGGAAACAACTCGGGCCCAAATACAACGGCCCAAGCCTCGAAGAAGCCCAGAATACGCACTGGGGTGCCTTCGGCCTCCTTGGCCGAAGGCTCCAAAACTCACAGGATAGCCTTCTCTAGCATAGGAAGCTACTGGGAGAAAACGGCGAAAAACATGAGCCTTCGGGATTATCAAGCCCTCGGCATCAGAGAAGCCCTCGGCTGAACAAAGCCCTCGGCTGCACAAGGAGCCCTCGGCTACACCGGGAGCCTTCGGCTGAACTAGCTCAATCATCGAAGATTCCTTTTAGAGACAGCCAACCACCGCATTTAATACCACGTCACATCCGCCAACCGCATTCAATGCGGTGGACGTGCCGCTGCCGGTGCCAACCGGCTGATGTGACCCTTCGGCCGTTGGATCACTGACACGTGTCCTCTCATCGCATTTATTGCTGCTATAAATAGCAGCCCTTATTCTCCTTGTAAACCACGCTGAGTTCATTTAATAAATCGACTCTCTCTCCTCCTATTTTGCTCTGACTTCTCTCTAGTTATTCCCGCAATAACCCCTCGGATAAGATACCCCCCGGGTAGACTGTCCATCAAGACTGTACAGGAGCTAGGCCCCACAGATCAGTGAAAATTAATTCAAAGGAGGAGTGATAGACAGTATTAGATGGATAGGAGGGAAGCCTGTGAGCTTTCCCTAGACAGCATGCAGAACAAAAATCAACAACAATTTTATTTTTTAAAGAGACATTACACAGATGCATTACAGATTTGAGAGCCTCTAAGTGAGGATGTCCAAATCTTAAATGCTAGGTATTACAAGAGTCATGTGATTGAGTTTTATTACAAGTAGAAATCAGAGAACTAGGACAAACAGAGTTATTAGTGGACTTGTGAGACCCAATAGCTGCAAAAGATTGAAATTTGTACAGGCCATCTGCACCAAGGATGCCATATAGAAGAATCTGTTTAGAAACCTGGGATTTAACAAAGCACTCATGAGGATGAAATTCAAAAAATGCATTGTTATCTTTGGCAAATTTACTAACACTTATAAGGTTTTTGGTTATTTCAGGGACATGCAAGATATTTTTAAGAGACAGGGAGAGGGAAGATTGATAAGGGGAAGAGAAGGATGAAAAACCAATAGACTTAATCTCCAGACCTTGGCCATTACCCATAAAAAGCTTGTCAGTAGTGGCAATTGGCTCACTATGCTGAAGGTTGAGTGGATCTGAAGTTACATGATGTGTAGCTCCTGAGTCTGGGAACCAGTTCTGAGAGTTGGGTGCTAGTCCAAGTACAGAGGAATTTGCACAAGCCCATGCTGCAGTTGGAGCATTGCTCAGATTGGAATTGGGAGTGAGATTTAGGGTAGATGAGGATGATGGTACCCAGTTGAAGTTTGATGGAGCTGAAGGATTGCTTGAGTATCTTGATGTAACAGGATTATTGAAGGGATTTGAGTGGTTATGAGGTGTGTATTGGTGAGGTATGGGCATATAGTTAAGTTGAGGTTGATGATATTGCTTTGAATAAGGATTGTACTGGTGTTGATTAGAGATAGAAAGGTACCACTGGGTGAAAGAAATAGGATTTGAAGGAATAGGATTTGTAGGTGTAGGGTTTTGTGCAGTGTAGGTTGGATTGAATCTATTATAGCATATTAGTGCGTGATGACCATTTTTGCCACAAACCTGACAGGTGATTGGATTCCGGCCACCAGAACAACCACCTCTACCTCCGATGAAGTTTCCTCTACCTCTTCCTCTGTAAGAGGATGAACCTCCTGAGTCATCAAACTGAGATACTTGAACAGAAGCATTTTCTGAAGAATTATGAGTTTCATTACCATTGTTTTGAGCAGATTGCTCAAGTCTAGCAACATTAGCAGAAAACAATGCTTGTTGAGATGAGTCACGCAGTTTCTTCAGACGCAATTCTTTTGCCAGCAAAAGAGCTTCAAGATCTGATACAGAAATTGGATCCAAGATGCTTCGAGAAGATACAGAAGAAACAAAGGACTCGTACTCTTCTGGAAGTCCTTCAAGGATTACGTCGATGTGATCCTTGGTAGTAACAGACTCACCGACAAGAATTAGGTTATCAATTATGGTTTGGATTCGAAGAAGATAATCGGAAATAGATCGATCACCTTTTCCAGTGTTGTAGAGCTCGGATTTCAATTGGCGAGTTCTGGCAATAACATTTGATCGAAAGAAATCCTGAATTTCATTCCACAATTGGTGCGACTGCTTACAATGTATAACACGAGCATGAAGGGAATCTGAAAGTGACGCTAGGAGCCAGGGGAAGAGCATCTGATCTTGCTGTTCCCAGACGTTGTAAGCTTCGTTAACGATTCTCTCTCCATTATCACCAACAACAAATCGATCTGGAATTTGAGGTTTCCCAATGAATTTGAGAAGTTTATGTGCCTTGATTACAGATTGAACATGATGCCTCCAGAGTAGAAAATTATTCGAGTCAAGCTTGATTGGTAGAGGATGATTGAAGATAACTGGAAAAGATTGCAATGAGGAAGATTGCGAGGATGAAGAATGCGATGATGATTCAGTAGAGTTGGTCATGATTGCGTGGATGAAGATTGGAATGAGCAAAGCTCTGATACCATAATAGAAACTAATCAGATAGAATTAGAAAGTGAATCGTCATTGATGAGAAAGCATCATTACAGAGTATTTATACAATACAGAAGTCAAGCAACTAACTACCGGGTCTAACCGAACCCCTTAACTAACAGTAACAGTATATGAGTATTTATTTATTACAGCTAACATGAGTGAATGACAGGCAAACCAGACTTCTCATTAGAAATAATTACATTAATATAACTAAAATAAAGATGTTTTTACAAAAAATATGATTAATTACTAGAGTAATAATGAAAGCATAGTAATTCATGTTCAAGTTTTGAACTTAAGTTACTACAACACTATGTTGTGGTAATGAATAGTCATATTTATGTAAATAAGTTTTATTTTAATAATATTGTTGTAAAAAACCCTTCTCATTATCTGACTTAAATTTTAGAATATTTCTGACTTAAAACAGAGTGCACTCATCTTTTTCCAAGCCCTAAACTCTCTTGCACTTCATGGCGTCGGCTCGGTAGGGGGACGAGCCCGCCGCTCATCCGCCTCAATAGCCATGATTTTGTATTGATTGACGACCAGAAACAGAAGCAGAAGACGAGTCCCGACCGCCAAAGCGCTGCATCACTGGTCACGATCGAAATCGATCGACGGTCACTCTTCGTCAATGACGAAAGCGGAAGAACAAAACCCTAGAGTGGGAGAGACCACTTTTATTTTCGTTGTTCTTCTCTTAATTATAAAACGCAGTGCGCGATTGCTTCTACTTTAAAAAAGTGATTTTAAAGTGATTTTGTAGAAAATGCTTAGAGCCCGTTTGCACGTAAATCGGCTGTTTTGGATGATTCTGCTGAAATTTGGCCGGAGTGGCTGCATTGGCTGATTCTGCTGATTTAACAAAAAAAATTAAAATATATTTTATTAATAAAATAAAGAAAAAATTATATGTAAAAATAGCTAAAATGGCCATCTACAGTAACTTCAATCAATACATCCCGAAAAGGAACTCCAACATTACTTTTTCTGCTTATTACACAATTCGGCGTGCAAAAGCAAAAAATACGTGTTTGGTGAAAAAAATGGCTGATAAGCCTGATAAGCTGAAAAATAGTGTTACCAAACGGTCTCTTAATAGTAAAAGTTGATAGAGTTTGTAAAGAAAACTGTTCTGAAAAAGTAAAAGTTGATAGTGTTTGATAATATAAATGTTTTTTATGTAATAGAAAAAGTGAAATGCAGTTTAAACTTTAAAGCATTACTCCACCTGCTTCCAGCTTTTAGCTTTTAAGTGTTTAATTTAAGCAGAAGTTGTCATCCGAAAACATTTATTTCAACTATTTTTACGTAAAAAACTGAAAAATACTTTTTAAAATTTATTGAAAACACTTGAATTCCTAAATAAATATTGTAAAAGTTGGGCTGACTTTCCAGCGTTCAATAGTTAAGTGCGCGTTTGATAATACCCAAGTCGCCTGTATTGACTAATTCTGTTGAAATTTATGAACGTCTTGTTGAAATGACTGGATTGGTTGATTCTGCTGATTTATGGAAGAATTATGTTCAAAATATATTTTATTGATATTATAAAGAAAAAACTATATTCGAAATGCAACTGTGTATTTGCTTATTGAATTTTGGTTGTATTCTTTTATTAAATACTCCGTATGATTTATTAATTGATTTTGTTTGTGTTATCCAAATATTGAATTTGAAGATTATCGATATTCTACATCTGTCCCAAAAAACTTTGTCATTTCATAAAGTTTGAATCACGATTTTGATTAAAATAATAGAAGTTATAAATTTTATACTTTTATGAAAGTACTTTTAACAAAGAACATTTTCATGTAATTTTTATATTACAAAATAATTTTCAATAAAAAGATATAGTTATCAAAATTTTGAAAATGACAAAGTTTTTTTTGGGACGGAGATAGTATTTCAAATATTGAATTAGGTTAGTTTTTTTTCTAGGGACTTCTGAATCATTTGGCATCTCTGCTGTATTTAAAAAAAATACATCAGGGATAACAAATGATTCAGAAACGCGAAGAAAAAGACATTACCGTATTTAAATGACCTCTAAATCTCTAATGCTCATTTCCAGATAGAAAATTTTCCGCTTCGTAATATGTATTGGATTTAATGAGCATCCCTGATGTATTATAATGACCTCAAACGCTCCTGATTTTTTTGGTTTTTGGTTCTAACTCATATTAAATCTCTAAAAATTTAATACACTTTGAAATATAGTGAAATGCATGTTAGCAGATGCACTTATGCTTTTAAAATATGAAAATGGAAACTAATAATCCAACCTTTTAACATTCTTCTTACAATAGTCTCACTTTTTTGTTATTCAAGAATAATCCAACCTTTGCACCTCATCTTCATTCGCTGGTCCCTGACCAGTTAATGGCCTGTTATTCCAAGTTATTTTTTTATCTTTTCAAAATATTATCATTGTGAAAGGTGAGATTTATGGTATAATGGTTTGCAAAGATAAGAAAATAACTTGGAATAACAGGTCATTAATCGGTCAGGGACCAATGAATGAAGATGAGGTGCAAAGGTTGGATTATTCATGAAAAACAAAAAGGTTGGACTATTGTAAGAAGACCGCTAAAAGGTTGGATTATTTAGTTTCCATTTTCCTTTGTTATTTTTCATTTCTTTCTTTTTCTCTTTTTTTATTTGTTTTTTTTATAAATACAACGAAGAAGAAACACTATTAGCCCGTTTGGTAGCACGAAAATCGGCTGTTTTGGCTGATTCTGCTGAAATTTATGAAATTCTGGCTGAAGTGGCTGTTTTGGCTGATTCTGCTGATTCAAGAAAAAAATATTTTAAAAATATATTTTATTAATAAATTATAGAAAAAATTACATGTAAAAATAGCTAAAATAGTCCTCTACAGTAACTTCAGCCAATACAGCCAGAAAAGTAACTCCAACCTTACTTTTTCTGCTTATTACACAATTCAGCACACAAAAGTAAAAGTTACGTTTTTGGTGAAAAAGCTGGCTGATAAGCCTGATAAACCGAAAAAAGAGGTCTCCAAACGGGCTCTATATGTACAATGAAGAGTCTTCTCCCCCCTTGTTAAACCGAGCATTGTCCCTAGTGCTCGTCATTGTCATTGCCAAGGTTATGTTTTTCTTTTTTTTGTTTCTTTTATTTTTCCTAGAAAATTGGGGATTTTGGAGAGGAAGGTTGGGAGTTTTCAAGAGTTATGTGGAGCAAGAGCAAAGTGATGGGAGCAAGATTGTGATTTTTTGTGTGGTGTTTGGTGGATGATTTGGGTATGTTGTTGCAGAAAGAAAGATATGATCATGTGGTTTGCGGTGATTAGGGCGGAGTTGTATGGTGTTTTGGAAGATTAAACATGAAAAGTGATGAAGAGGAGGCTGCTAGGAAAGAATATCAAACACACAATGACGTACCTTGCTTGGGTTGCCTCCCAAGAAGCACCTTATTTAACGTCGTGACACGATGCCATCACTGTGTTCAGTCGTTCAAGTTTGGATCGTGATAATTTATCTACTTCACATTTTCACTTCTAGAACTTTTCTAGAAATTCTCAATTTTCTGAGCCTTTATTTTGAAAATCTTTCCAGGATCAAATATCCAGATTTCCATTGATTCATGTGGTGAGAGTGAGGGAAAGAAATTATCGTTTACCATTGATTAAAAGGGAAAATGAAAAAGTTCTCGAGACAACAAAAATGGAAAAATAATAAAATTCTCAGGGACGGAAGAAGTAACGTTTTACAAATATCAATTTGTAATCGGTTTTGATTATCATAATAGACATTCATTCCATTTAAATTCGTGATTATATAAATAGAGGAATGATCATGTCTAGCCGGAGGGACAGGATCCTCCGTCCGGCCGTTGCCGTTTGGGGCGGTTCCCGGTGGAGTTTTTTGATGAAATGTTTATGGAATGTTCCTCATCAACTAAACTCCATAAATTTCAACTAAACTTGATGAGGAACATTCCATAAAAATTTCATCAAAAACTCCACTGGGAACCGCCCCAAACGGCGGCGGCTGGACGGAGGACCCTGTCCCTCCGGCTGGACATAATCTTTTCCGTTATAACTCACATTCTCTATAGGTATTTCTTAACACTATCAAGAAAAAGTAAATAGTCCCTAAGAATGCATATGGTGAACAATATTTTCATTTGGGAAAATCGCACTTTTAGTCACTGAAATAGTAACCAAAATGAAATGTCAGACTCATATTTTTGAGATTGTAAATGTCACCCCTCAATTGTCCAAGAAGCTGTAAATGTGGTCGTTTAAATGGTGAAATGTACTCTCACCCACAAAGGACCATATTTACAACATTTTGGACAATTGAAGAATAACATTTACAAAAGTAAGATTTTACTGCTCATTGTCTTGTAAGATTTGTTTTTCCCATTTCCGTTTTGTGTTTAGTACCCGACTCCCCGGTAAAAGAAAAACAGCTCCGAGGCACACTGCCTTGACGGCTTATATACCCACATTTTTTCTGCGCTCACAAGTGTGCATGGAGGGAGGAAGAGGGAGTAAGAGGACGGGGGGCATCACTCTTAACTGGGAGGTCTTATTACCCGAACGCGAAGACGAACCCCCACCGGAGCTGGTTGTAACCTCTACGGCAGCGCTAAAACCGCAATTGACGGTGATGGACGAGGATGAATGTCGGGACGACTTCAGGAAATTGTCGGATGAAGAGCTCAAGGTTAAGATTGCGAGAATGAATTGTCTTCTATCTAACGGTGCCGCCAAAAATCTGGGTGATGGTGGTGAAAAGCTTAGATTACGTATCAACCGGCTCGAGGATGAACAGGAGCGGAGGAAACGTGAGCTCCAGCATAAGGTGATTTCGTTGTGCGCTAAAGTTAGTTCATATGTTAGACTGGATAATGTGATAGGCCAGCTTTAAACTTATAGCTCTGTTTGATTACTCTCTATGGGGGAGGGTAAATTTCATAAACCCTACTTAGAATTGAATGTTCGTATTCAGTTACAGGTTAATTGCCCTACAAGCTCTCTTGATCATCACAAAAGCACGAATTTATTGAACAGTTGATACCAAAATGTAACACTCATTCATGTGGTTTATTCAATTTTATGTACCTTTGAGTCTTTTGGCTTTGTTAAGTTGAAAATTGGGTGACGAGAATGGACTAATAATATGAAAGGAAGAAAGTTAATGTTCTAATTTAGTGCTGAGACAAATATATGTCTGTTTTACTTATACGACTCTTACATTATTATTGTTATTGTAGTTTCTAGTTTTACTTATATCACACATATATAATACAGAACAATGTGAGCCATCCTGAATAAAGATGCTCTTTCGTGTGGACATTTATTGGCTTATTGTTATGGAAAATAGGTAGTGAATATTAACCCCTCTAATGCCAGTATGCCACTGACAGTTTAAGGGAGTGTTTGAGATTGCTTCTACTTTAAAAAAGTGATTTTTTAAACTGATTTTGGAAAAAAAGTGTTTCTGAAAAAGTAAAAGCTGGTAGTGTTTGATAAAATAAGTGCTTTTTGTGTAATAGAAAAAGTGAAAAGCAGTTTAAAGCATCCTCAACCTGCTTCCAGCGTTTAGCTTTTAAGTGCTTAATTTAAGCAGAAGCTGTCACTTGAAAACACCTATTTCATTTTTTAAGCCAAACGCTGAAAAGCACTTTTTAAAAGTTTTTGCAAATACTCCCCAAGTCATTCTCTAAGTTTTTTTTTTTTAATTTAAGATGATTATGAATTAGATAAATAGGATTGACACTGTCATGATTCATGATGCTGGGGCATTCCAGAGTTAATGCTGCATTCAAGTCAACTCCTCACACACACACACACTTGCAGATGTACTCTATGCATATACTGCTTCACATGTAAACAAAATTATTTTGGCCACAACAATCCATGGTTGTTAAACTTCCATAACTCATCTGTTTTCGGGAAACACCAGTTTTCTTTGGCCACAATGTGGCCCGTGACTGTGTGATTACCCTCAGCTTGAGCAAAACACCTAGAAGCCGGTCCATAGTGCGGGATAGCCTGTAAGACATGGTCCATCATAATAAGCTCATGACAGACCCCATATCTGGCCCATGGGAAGTCGTGGTCAACCCCTTTTCATAATTGTAATAGGTTTTATGTATTTACAATTTACAAGGTACATATTGGCATATTGTATTAGAGATACTACCATACTAGTATTGTAAGGAGTTGGGTTCCTTGACTTGGTTGAAACTGCATAATCCTAATTTCCTAATAGTTGTGGTGGTTCACTGGTTCTAGCACTTCTATGTATTGTAAATGGGAACTGCCATCTCCTTTAGGGGTATCTTATGTTTACTAAATGTGTCCAAAGCATTCCAACAATAACACATTTTTTTCATAACCATGCTCTTAGTTCTTTGCACCCTAGATAAAATGGTTTTAAGGAGTATAGGTTGGATTGTATTAGTTAACACCACGAACATAATCACAACACATCTATAGTTTGTCTGTATGCTAGGAAAAACACTACATCTATAGTTCTCCTTTATGTAAGGAAAAACACACAGGAGAGAATCTTATAAACATTTCTTCAAAATTGAGAATTTCAGTTATAGTAGATGCTCATTGAGTTCTAAACTGATTACCTGAAGGTAATCATGACATGAGTTAGCCTAGGTTGCCATTTTAATGTATATTCTTGTACAAATAAGTTTAGTATGGTTGATAGTGTTCGAGCTTATCTCTAACCAAGTTTTTTTCTTTGGTAGGACATCGATGAAGGAAAAGAGCATACTCACAACTCTGCAGGTGAAATTTCATATAACTTCTGAAAACATTTCGGATATTATCCTTTTGCCTTACCTTTGTATGGCTCAAAATATGGAAATGGGCGGAAGGATAAATGGTGGTGGTGGGAGGATGGTGGTGGTGGGAGGGGGTATGGAAAATGAAAGAGTTGAAAAAAGATGCTATGTTTGGTGTATGCTTGTTAGGGAACCTCAACCAAACAGTAAAATTGGCGTATATTAGAGAAAGAAGATAACAAAAAGGAAAGAAATACAGGTGAGACACTTCGAGCAGTCCTCTCTCCCAAGTGTAAGGATGTTTTTACTTGGACTGTAATTTGTCTCAGACCAGACTTGGATAGTTATAAAAATACAAAGAGACCAGACATTACCAGACCAGACCAGCAAATATTCTTATTATTAGTCTCCTCCGCCCATGATCCTATCATATCCCCCCTTGGACAAACACCTTGTCCTCAAGGTGGGTGGTATGAAATAGCTTTGACCTTCCGCTTGATCTTCATCCTTGCGCCTCTTCCTTCCCAATACCTACTTGATTTCTGATCTAGGAGCTTCACTTCTTTCACTTTCATCATCACTTCCTCCTTCATATGGATTAGTTTCTGAAGAAATCGCAATGCAGCTTTGACCATGTCAAGTGGTGTTCATGGCTGGCCTTGACAGAAGTTTAACAAAGTCCATGTAGTGTTTCTCAACATAGAAAGCTTTTCCTATGTATAAAGAACCGGACCGGGAGGCGACTCGGACAAGTTACCAGCTCAAGGGTCAACCCGGACCCCGAGGGTCAACCCGGACCCGGAGGGTCAACCCGGTCAAGACCGGTTAACCCGGTCAACGCTATATATATTCTTTAACAATATAGTTAAATTTGTAAATGAAACAACATTTTCCTTCCTAATTAAAATACATTTATTTCCTATGTAGTACATAATTATTAATTTATTTAACTAAATCATGAATGCATTTCAAATTAGAGGAGCAAAAAAATAAACATAACATTAATTACAAAGTTATAAAATTATTGTATAGATATGTTCTTTACTTATATTTGGACTATATAATACATATTCTAATCGTTCTTCGCACATGATAACCATGGTGTGTATACTTAGTTTTCATTTTAATATTTATTAATCAATGAAAGTAGCATGAAGATGTAAGGATACTAAAACAAAGAATAATAATCGATGGGATGCGTTGATTTCCAACCTGCTGCAGTGGGTGGGATGGTATATGGCCGCTATGCCTAGCATGAGGTAGGAGGTTCGAAGTCTCTGCATGGATGAATTTCTTCATGCAGGCCGGTTTTACCGGGTACCCGGTTTTAAGCTTTCCGGCCCGGGTGCAGGTTTAAGCCGGTTATTTCCGGTTTTGACTGTATTTCCGGGTTGGAGTCTGGCCGGACTGGATTTAGTGCTGGTTCACCGGGTTCCAGGCTGACCCGGCCGGTCCGGTTCTTTAAACATAGAGCTTTTCAGGCTCATACAACTGTCCTAGCAATGCTAAGAGTGCACCAGGACCGCTAACCAGGTCTCTACAGGCCGGAGCATCACCAGCAGAACCAAATAATGTTGGAGAGGATGCAAGAGCTGCATGCCTTGCTTCAGCATGAGCCTGCCATTTGCCTCCCAAACAACCTTCACCAATTCCAGTAACATTCCAGAAAGCTATAGCCGGTTTATGCATAATGTCAAGCCCAATAGATGCAGTGAATTTTTCTTCAAAGGAAACCTATCCACTAAGTGTATTGGCTTTTGCTACCCCACAGAATCTTCCCCTCTCAAAATCCTTACCTAATAGGCTTGGATTCATACTGGCAGAATCAATATCTATTGATAATAAAGTTCTATCTCTTTCAGTGGAAGGGCAATCACCTGAAACACCTCCTGATTGATGGGAATTTTGTTTTACTTGAAACTGCATAGGCTTTTGTCATTTCAAATGCATGTTCGCCAAATAGTTTTAGACTGATGCAGTGTCCACAATGTATAGGCTTTTATCATTTCAAACCACCTTGTTTCAAATGTCTTTCCACATAAGTCCTTGCATCTTATTGAACTAACTATCTGTGGTTCATGTACGTATGGGCTTTTATCATTTCAAACCACCTTGTTTCAAATGTCTTTCGATATAAGTCTTTAGGATGTTCGTTCCCAGATTACAAAATTAGCTTCCGTTTGATTTTTGCAATTATGGGCATGAATGCTGATAGGAACCCACTTATTAGACTAATAATAGAAGTAATAATAATAATATTAGTAATAAGGGTCTGTGAGTTTGCTAGTATAAATAGACCGGAAGGGGGAGTAATAAGGAGGCTTTTGGGACTTTTGGACTGGGACTGGGAAAGATTAGAGAGTTATTCTCTTCTCTTTTGGGAGGCTTTGGCCTTTGTTTCTGTTTCTCTCTGTAACTGATCTTCTTCATCAATTAAGAATTCAGTTTGATTTTCTTGTTAACCTACTGTAATTGTTCTCTTCTCTTTTGGGAGGCTTTGGCCTTTGTTTCTGTCAAAGCCTTCGATCGCTGGTTGAGATACTCGCGCGCAAAATGGAAGGGAGAATTAACGACCTGGAAAGAAAACAAAAAGAAACATCGGCAAAAATGGCGTCGATGGCAACGACCTTGGCAGTCATAAAGACGGACATCGCAAGGCTGGAAAATACAGTCCAGAATCGATCGCGAAGCAGATCGCAGTCAAACGCATCGCATCATCGCGATTCTCATCATCGCGATTCTCATCATCGCGACTCTCATCATCGCGACTCTCATCATCGCGACTCTCATCATCACGACTCTCATCATCGCGACTCTCATCATCGCGACTCTCATCATCTCGACTCTCATCATCGCGACTCTCATCATCGACATACGCGACTTTCGATCGACGCAGATGAATCGGAAGAACAGAGTCTTCACAGAAGAACTGGAGAAGGATCGAGGAACATCAGACATGCTCCGCTATCACCGAAGGAGTCTCAGACGAAGTCGTGAATTACCGATCACTGTTCACAGTCGCAGAATTCTTCGCATCGCTCTTGTCGCTCTTCGCAGAGTTCTGCTCATCACTCTTATCATCGCTCTTCGCATCAGAGTGCGCCTTATTCATCTAAAGTCAATTCTCGGAAGTCAGCTAGTTCACAGATAGAGGAATTACCTCTATTCTATGAGGATGAAGCGTACGCATGGATAGAGAAGATGGAAAAATATTTCAGAGTTCAAGCTATTGCAGAAAAATTCAAAGTGGACGTTGCAGAAGAGGCTATGGGGGAAGCCGCGTGTGGCTGGTTTAAATGGTGGTGGGAGTATCAAAAGAGGGAAGATAGCTGGAAGGCTCTAAAGGAAGATTTGATTAAGGATTTTCCACCTAAACACTGGCAGAAGACAGGAAGAACAGAAAGGCAAGAATCCCCAAGGTCACGAAGAACTTCTTCCAGTTCGCAATCAAGAACTTCTTCCAGTTCTCAATCAAGAAATTCTTCATTCAGTTTGCAGGAATCATCGTTAAACAGGCAGCGAAAACAGGAGTCATCGAGGTCGCAAAGAACTTCTCGCTCGCAAGTTTCTCAATCAGCGCTAGAAATTTACCAGTCCACAAAGACGACCCAGATGGAACCAACTGAAATTGTAATCAAGCAAGTGAATAAGAAAGACGAAATCAAGGAGAAAAGGCAGGTTATTCAAGGGTCAGATTATGTTTCTTCTAATCTTGCAGAGGATGTGGATTTAATTCCCAGCCATGTTTCTATTGATGACAAGCTTATTCAACCATGTTCTGTTAAAAATAGAGCCCTAATTGCGCCTAAAACAGTTCTAGTCAAAAGTCAACTATCTTTACAGCCAAGAGAGAGGTCTTCAGAAAAATTATGCATTGGTAAAAATAGATTGGGTACAGAAGCTCAGGAGGAGGAGGTTAAGCTTGTTTCAGGAGGACCTGCTATCATTTTTGGAAACCGCAAACAGATTCATGATGCTGATAAGTCTAATCCTTTCCAACATCTTGGCAGAAATACATTGCAACCTGCAATCTTAAGTGTTAAAATCTTATCACAAGCTCAAGGGATAGAATTACAGCTAATTGTTGAGAGCATTAGAAGCTGCCCCAAGCTTGGCCTACATAAACCATTGAAAGCATTAGAAGGATATCTAAATTTGGGAGACATCACTGCAAAGACTGTTCATAGCCTATCACTTCCTAATGTTTTGGACAACTTCACAAGAGTATTACAGAAGATGGCTCTTAAGAGTTATCAGCAAGCTCTAGGCAAAGTTGTTGCACCAAAGTTTGTAGAAATACTCTATGGTAATCAGGTCCATTTTCTGGCAAGATCTTCTGAAGGGTCAGGAAGTTATCTGGGACAGAACAGCCTTGGTTTGTGGACTTATGGTCCTTTGGAAATTGTTACTTCCTTTAAATCGGCATTGGATATTCCTGCAATTCAACTGATGGGTGCATTACTCAAGGAGAATAAGCATGTTCTTAAAGAAGACATCCGGCTATGTAGTGTAATGGGACAAATGCTATTACTGTTTAATGATGGGGAAATACCAGAGATTGTTGAAGTCTTAAATTCAAAAAGAGGAACACAGTATGATGCTAGTTCTCATGAACTTTCTAATGACATAAGTGTGGATGAAGTTTTATACGAGCTATGCAGTGAGATGTTTTACTCAAGAGATAGGAAGGAGTCTGAGGGACATGCAATGTTGAGCATGATCAAGAGTTTCTCATCCAGAGGTCTAGAAGTCTGGGAACTTCTTATACCACCATCAGTGAGGTACTGGGAGGGGAGAGGCACCAGGAGGAAGCGGAGTTCCAGACTTGGTTCTTATCATCCCACCTTGAGGACAAGGTGGTTCTTTAGGGGGGGAGTATTGATAGGAACCCACTTACTAGACTAATAATAGAAATAATAATAATAATATTAGTAATAAGGGTCTGTGAGTTTGCTAGTATAAATAGACGGGAAGGGGGAGTAATAAGGAGGCTTTTGAGACTTTTGGACTGGGACTGGGAAAGATTAGAGAGTTATTCTCTTCTCTTTTGGGAGGCTTCGGCCTTTGTTTCTGTTTCTCTCTGTAACCGATCTTCTTCATCAAATAAGAATTCAGTTTGATTTTCTTGTTAATCTACTGTAATTGTTCTGTACTGGTGAGGTCCTATCAAATGCACAATATACAAATATGCAACATGCACACATATACAAAGCATAAAGACTATTTGAAACTGATCATTGATGGGGATATTTACTTTGTTCACATATTCACTCATTTTGAGAGGGCAAGGATAAAAGAAAAATGTAACTGTGAAAGTGTGCAGGTGTATCTACTGGCTTCAAGCAATCAGCTCCATCATCTTCCACACCACCTTCACAATCTTCATTTGCTTCCCGTTTTACAAAGAACATAAAAACAACAGTAAATTCTTATTCTCGAGTCTTGTCTATCTCACCCGTAATGTGGATGGTTGTAACTTTTTTACAGCTTAAGTTTCCCTAATTAATTTTTGTGCATTGATAATCAGGGAAACCATATTGCCTTTGAACAAGAAATGTATACTATGAATCCCTGTGGCAATAGAGAGACACGCAAAAGGCAGATTTCACCAAGGAGAAGACAAGAGAGAGGGCTCTCTTCTCGTAAAGCACATAGTCTGCAGCTATCAAATGCTGGTTCAAAAAGAAGTATTTCTTCTGCTACTTCACTCTCTGAGGGACTCTTCTATGGCAGTGTTACAAAGTATATTAGTCCTTCATGCCCCATTTTTCTTCTTCTCAGTCTGTTATAAGATGTGATTTGGTCGTTCCATGTGTCATTTTTTACAAGAGTGTCCTCTTTACCCCTAGTGCTTAGCTCAGTCTTTTGCTGTATGCTCTAAACATGACGTGTTCGGTTCTCTCAGGAAAAATTCTTCTGATGTCCAATGCTCAGATGGTCCAAGCTGTAAAAATGTATGATTTTCGACGCACTAGCTCCCTATTTGTGTGTTTCTTATCATGAAAGATGTATGTTTTTTGGGATTTTACCCTTGCATGTCCTTTGGGATTTTAACCACAAATTGTTAGCCGACCCCAAATTCTTTTGGGAATAAGGCTTGCATGCTGTTGCTGTTGTATCTAAGCTGGATAAATAAAATGGCTTTTATGCTATGTTTGGTTTTCTCCTATAGTCTTACTGTTTTTTTCCAGATAAAGGAATGTTGTGGTAGATTGACGGCATCATAAAACCCAGTCACAACTATGGACATGAACCATCATGAAAATTTTGCAGGGTTGTTCCCTATTGAATTTCAGTGGATGGCCTCTGGATTTTATATTGGTTCATGTGTCTGACATTATTGAATTGCGAATAAAACTTGTTTATTGTTGTTTTCTTAATGTTTAATTAATTTATACGAAGTTTGTTCTGAGCATTATATTTGGATTCAATTGCATTACCTTCTTGCAGGGTGAGACAGTTGTTCTTCTGGATGAAGAGGAGCATGAGGCTGAACAGATGGACCAATTAGACTTTATGGATGAATGGTATTGCGTTATACTCTTATTGCTGGGCCTTTTCAATCTCACCTTTAACATTTTAGTCTCCTAGTATGTGGTCTGCCAGGCAATCATTCTTATTTTTCATTGTCATTTCAGCACAAAAGATATGAAGCTATACTATCCTTCTAGGTATGACATGCTCCCTTTTTGCAGATTTTTCTTCTTCAATGATATATATGTTGCAGATGATTTTTTTGCATCCTTGCATCTTGAATACTTACCTATAAGATGTTTTCCTTGGTGGTGGAGTAGAGATGACCCAGATCCAATTCAGCTTTGCTATTCAGACATGGATTGCCTTGCTCCTGAAGTTTATTTGTCATCAACTATGATGAACTTTTACATCAGGTAAAGTTGTTTAAAGTTTAGTTGAGATAGTTCAATCCATTGACTCATAAATTCTTGTTTATGCTTCATTCTCTTAATTTGACTGAAAGGTTTTTTTTTTCCGGGTGGGTGGGTGGGTGGGGGGGGGGGGGCGAGGAGGTGATGGCGGTGGTGAAAATGGATAGTATAAAAAATAAGCAACTCTTGCTTTATAGGAAGAATGTCTTCTTTTTAAATTATTGGTTTCAAATATGACATGATATTGGTAGGAGCCATCAATACAGTTGCATCAAGATCAATTGGCATTTATATGGATAAAGTAACGTCTTGGTGCCTTTCTGGCAATATAAACCAAAAGCACTTCATAGTACCATAACTTGAAATGTTTTCAGATTTGGGTGGAATTGAGGCAGGAATAGTTCCATTTAAACAATGGAGAAGTATGCAGAAATTGGACATTCAGGATGATCGAAAGTGACATAGTATTAGTGTATTACTTTGTGTTTGCAGAAATTAAAGAAATCTCTCCATATAGGATAAAACATAGACAAAGTGTATAAATAGGAGTAGGTATGTTTTATTGCTAAAGTAGGATTTATTTGGTTCTGTTAAAAGCATAAAATTTTCCGGATTAGGAGTTGATTAATTTGTGCACTTTGTCTACATTTTACTCCTATTTAAGGGATTTTCTCAAAATTTTACACTGCCATGCTCTAGGGCTAGAATATGCTGCCTGAAAACTACACTGCAGACTATAAGTTTGTGCAAGTTATTCTTTTTTACTTCAATCCTACTATTTTTTGTCTCTCTTTGGACATATGAATGAATGGAGGTGGGTGAGGCAACATTGATTATTGTAGGGAATAAACCTCATGGTACTGCACTCCCCTAATCACACTAACTTAGAATGTACAAAAGGAGCAGCTGCAAGCACTAGGTTACTTTGTCATTAACTTCAACTATCAAGGGCAAACCATTTGTTGTTGATCCTTCTGCTCATTGTTTCGGTCTTCAATCCAGAATGAATGCTTGACTGGGATATTTCCTAATTCAATGTATGCACTGCTACACAGTACACACACAATGACTTGCTTATGAAGTTATGATCAGGAGTGCATCAGTTTCTTTAACTAGAGCTGACAATACGTTTATTCCTTATACCTATATTTAGTTTAGCTACATCTTTCACTCAAATTATTGCTAAAAGAAAGTTGGGTGCTTTCTCTGATCATTTTATTTGGGTTGGACTAATTTAAACTCGAGATCATTTTTCCTAGTGCTCTAATCAAAACAGTAATTTTTCCTTTGTTGTTTGTTATGACTAGATATCTGCAGCAGACAAGGTCTCTACTAGATAATGGAGGATGCAACTATCATTTTTTCAATACATATTTTTATAGCAAGCTTAAAGAGGCTGTGCTGAAAAAGGTATATTATCTTTCATTCTTCCAACCCAGAATTTGGAGGAGAAATGACATTCAGATTTAGTCTTAGTACTTTAGACTTTTTATTAATCTATCTTCTATATTTATGTATAATCTTTAACTATGTGAGCGACATGGAACTTTATTTATTAGTTACTACTTCTGTCCCATTTTATGTCTTACTTTGGTTTGACACAATTATTCTTAGTGGTTGAAAAAGTAAAAGTTGTGGTTGAGATTTGAGTATAATAAAGTGAAATTTGGTAGACCACTTATTTCTTTCCACAAAAAAGAAATGTGACACTTATTTTGGGGCAACCCAAAAAGGAAAGTAAGACAGGTAAAATGGGACAGAGGAAGTATTTGTAATACTAAATTTTGTTATTTGTGCAACGTTTTTTATAGATAGTAGTAGTATACCAGTTAATGTTTTTTGTTTTTTCAAAGGATATAACCTCTCATTATTGAAGGGATCTACATCCCACCCCTTCCGAAGAGCATATATATCTGAACTTCTGTGTTAATGTTGTCTGTGCCATAAATTTTGAACTAATCCTTAATCAACTATGCTCAGTAATTTGAAAGATTGTTCGTCCTATTCCAGCCAAACTGGTGTTCACTGTATTGAACAACCACTTGGTTCTTTTTGTTAATCTTCCACAACATGCACACACAACAATGGCATTTAAGAATAACAAATGGAGTTTCTGACTCCTTAGACTGCATTAAGTAGTTCTCTTAATGCATAGCAGAGTTTAGTTAAGCAAAACAAGGAACTCCAACATAAATTTGATGGAAGCAACCTGTCTTTGAAAGAGGAATCAGAAGGAAAAAGTAGATTAAACACACATTGTAGATGTGTGTGCATGCTCGCATATGCACATGCTTATGTGCCATGTATATGTACATAAAGCCTTTAGATGCTCTTAAACACATATTTCTGAATAATAATATATATGTTTACATCAGAATGACAGGGAGTCTTCCTTTGTAAAGTTAAGAAGATGGTGGAAAGGCATAAATCTATTTGAGAAAGCATACATATTTTTACCAATTCATGAAAGGTGAGTTTTTTTAATTATTTGCAAAAGTTTCCTTTTTTCTTAAAATATATATTGTGGATTAATTATAAGCCATATATGAGGTGTGAGTATGTTCTGGCCAATGAGAGAAAATGAGAAGTATTCATCCTTACAGTATCGGAAAGCAACAACGCAAGAATGAAGACTATTTTTCATTGAGGTTGAGGTTTTGAAAAGCTAAAGCTATGTCTCTTTTCATGGATACATTTTCTCGGAAAGTGTTTTTTACTTTCCTGAAAAGATTTTCTTTTGTTCCGGCCCCGTAAGTATTTTCATTGATTCTTTTGTAGAAAATAACTTCCTGTTTTTTTTTTTTTTTTTTTTTTTTTTTTTTTTTTTTACCTGAAACAGTTTTATCTTCTCTGTTTTTGTGGATCAAACATTTTAAGCAACATGTTAATTTCATGTAGGAAAACAAAGACTAAAATGGCTTTCAAAATGTTTTGCTCCAGTCTCATGAGGTGTAAGCCTCTTCTAGGTGAAGCAAGGTGTAAGCTTTGTAAAATGTACAATTATAAAAGTTTATATAATTAATGCCATTTCAAACCTCAAGTAAATTTCTCAAATTTGTCCCGAAAACCATTGTTATTTTTTGAGCACGCCGCCATCAGGACCAGGCTATCCTAGATACCCTATTACACTCAACCCATTACCATCCCTTGATGAGGCGTGTGGAAACAAGGTTGGATGTACTTGGACCAGAGATCATCATACAATATTGTAATTTCATTCTATTTTGGTAGTAACATGGTTGCCCGAAAAAGCAAGAAACATGATATTGCCCAATCAAGTGCAAAAGCATAACTTTGATCAATGGCACTAGATACTATGAGAGTAAGAGCACGTGATCGAATTCGATTGAGGCAACTTCTTAATGAGTTGTTTTTTGCAAGTTTTAAGGCCTATGAGGGTCATTTTGATGATGATCAAGCAACATTTCGTATAGCATCCAATCCGTTCTTTCATGAGAGAACTATACAGATTGAAGGTGATTGTCATTTTTAGAGAATTTGAGAAGTAATCCCAAGTTTTTGCCTCATTTATGGGCTCAAATGACCAATTGGTATTTACCATTACCAAGCCTTGAGAAGGTTGATCTTGCAACTGTTGTACCTTGACAAAATCTAATAGTTTTTTCACCAAAAGAGTAATGCTTGTGATTGTTAAGTGTTTTCTTTCTTGTTTACATGTTATATTTTCATTGTTTTTACGAACTTTAATACTCCCTCCGTCCCCTTTTAAATGTCCCGGAAGAGGGTGGCACGAGTTTTAAGAAAAGTGGGTTTGTGTGGTTGATATTAATTGATAAAGTTAGAATAAAATAAGAATGATTTTGAGTCACAGAAACTTTACCAAATAAGGTATGAGACAATTAAATAGGGACATCCCAATATAGTAAAACAGGACATTTAAAAGGGGATGGAGGGAGTATTTGTTATTCACTCTGTCCCAAAATAAACTCCTAATTCATTTTATGGCAAAGAATATGTGGTTCACAACATTTGTCTCGCCTTTCACAACTTTTGGCCACACAATTTCAACTTTCTTAATCTCCCTGCCAAGTCAACACCAAGTTAATTATAGGATGGAGTATTATTTCTGTTTTAAGGTGTCCTAGCTGGGCCTGCCCTGTTTTTATTTATTTATGGCTTGTGTGATTTTTCTTCCTGTGTCCAACATATCTTTTCTTATGTCCATACTTTTCAGTTGAGGCTTTTCAATATTGAAAATGTTATGTTTTGTGCTTCTTCATTAATCTTTTGAGAATCCTTCGTCTTGCCTTTTCAGTCTTCACTGGAGCTTGGTAATTATCTGCATACCAGATAAGGAGGATGAATGTGGACCCATCATACTTCATTTAGATTCATTAACGTTGCATTATAGCAAGCCAATTTTCAGTAACACTAAGAGGTTGGCGTTTGTTTAAAAGCAGTTTAAATACTTTAAGCATAACACTGTAAGAAATTGGGTTTAAGTATCTGTGGTTCAAGTATTTCTGTCATTTATATTTGAACTCCATGCAAGTAAAAACAGCACTGTGCCTATGTTTTGGCATGTCGATGGAGTGCACATATATTTCTTGGTTTCTTTGGATACAGTTAGTGCTCTAGCGTACGGATGCATGATATCACCCCAATGTATTCTTCAAATCTTTTGTTGCTTGAAATGTTCTGCCTAGCTGCATAATTTTGTGCATGTGCAAGGGCGTATAATAGTGTTGGTGTCAATTGTGAAACGAAACACAGCTCAATAAAATAACTAGCCATGTGATTAAAGAAATATGTTTTTAGGGGTGCTTAAAATGGATACTGCATTCCTAGATTGGACTTTTTTAATGTTCCTTTTTTTGGTTGGAGACATGAAGGATGAAAGATGGTTGTCATTTACATGAATATTAATTTTTTTTACAATCTTAAACCCCACAAAAAAATGAAAGTTGGTTGTCATTTACATTGTCAGAGCATATACATCTCATATCTTCCTTATCTATTGAGCATGATCATCAGAGGATCTAGAACATTGATCAGTGAAGTCCCTAACTTACGCATTTGTTGATTAATTAGGGCCTAATTCATTAATGGTCTTGATCTGATATCATGAGAGGTTTGAAATAGTTGAGCATTACTATTTAAATGGAAACCAAGTCTTGATCAGCCAAGTCCCTAACTTACACTTTCATTTAAGTGTGATTTTTTAAAATGGAAACCATTCTCATATTCTGTGATCCTATGATATTTTTCTGTCCAAATTGGAATTCGATAAATGTGAGATATCCAGTTCTCAAAGAATTTCCTATAATGGATTTCCTTTTGATACCATAAGCTTGTTTAGTTTTGGTTGAGTTGTCAACTTTTTCCTGCAGATTTTTAGTAGAAGAGTGGAAAATCTTGAAAGATGAAGGACAATGTTTACCCATTGCAGATAACGTATGGAATATGCTCCCTTCTAGGATTGAGAACGAAGAAATTGAGGTAAAATATTATCCCCACCTGAAACCCAGTGTGCAATTGTCATTTCTTCTCTACCAAAAATCTCATCAGAGAAGTCATATCGGATTAGTATTGCATGGCATCATTAATAATTGTGGAAAACATTCATTTGAACTTTGAAGTTTTCTTTTTTGACTGCATGGTCCTTTAACCTTTTCTCCCTTTTACACATTTTTATGTGGTGAATGGTGATAGGTTCCTCAACAAAAGAATGACTATGACTGCGGTCCTTTTGTGCTTTTCTTTATTGAACGATTCATCCGTGAAGTTCCTGAAAGACTGAAAAGGAAGGATCTAGCGATGGTACTGTTTCTGTCCTCTTTTTGTGAAAATGGATATAGCCATAATGAAAGTCATGTCTTATGTAAATCTTCCCTTGAAGTTTCACATGTTTCCTGAATATCCCCTTTTACTTAACTTTCACACTCATTTGCCATTAATTTTTTCCTCCCAGTTTGGAAAGGATTGGTTTAAGCCTCAAGAAGCTTCTAAGTTGAGGCGAAGACTCAAAAGCTTACTTGCGGAGGAATTCAGAAAAGCTGCTAAGGAACTGAAGAAACAAGAATGCGAAGCCATTGTCTAACATTCTTTGGATCCTAAGCCTCTTCCCATCTACAAACAGGTTTTAACACTGGTAGATAATCGGTAGCTGGTCGTGGACATGTGGTTTGCCTTGGATGGCAACACCATGGATACACTAATAAACTGGAGACTTTTGGAGTTGCTGTATATAGGACTGACATTTTTGGACCATAAACGGCAAAGAATTGGAATATATGCCGTCTGTCCATTCCCTGAAGGTAAATATAACTGAGATATGAAGGGGGTCTAATTGTGATCACTTATCAGTATATGCTCTCTTTTAGTCGAATAGCTGACTAGGCCATTGTTTAACACCCAAGCATCCTTTTTATGGACGTTTGTTTACTATTGGACATATGTATGATTCGTTTTTCGGACAATCTAGTTGTATACTTGTATATGCTAAATCTGCCGATTGATGGGAAATTATTGCAATCTTGTGAAAGTTTTTACTGACTATGAAAGTGTTTTTATAATACCATGAAGGCATGAAGTATGAAAACCATTTTGCAAATCTTTGCATTTTCTGAAATTTAAAAATTAGGATTGACTTCAGGTCTTTGCACCCTAACCCAAGTTAATTGGAATGGGGAATGTAAAATATACAATGCCATTTAGTTGTTCAAGATTTGTTCTCTGCAAGTTCATGCAAAAAAAACACTGCCAGTGGTTCACGTTCTCTATCATTTGTGTTGCAACTTTCTAAGAATAATAGCATAACATTGCAAAACTATCATCGCATTTTTGTTTATTGTTTCTGATTGCATGACAAATGTCATGTGCTGATTATAGGAGACAGTATCTTGAGATTTTTGCCACGCAATTTCTGACATTGAGAAAAAGTTGTTTATTCTCGTACACATAGTTGCATTTTTATTACTCGTAATAAAAAATATGGATAAACGTTTTACGGTTTTAGTTAGGGATGGACTCGGGCCGGGCGGCCCGGCCCGGGAACCGGTCCGGGGGGCGGTTCGGGTTGGCCCGGCCCGGTTATTGTGCGGTTCAGGCCCAGGCCCTTTGATTGGCGAACCGGCCCGGCCGGTTCGGGCCCGGTTCGGGCCAAATTATTTTTTTTTTGAATTTTTTTTAAGTTTTTGGGTTGGGCTTGGTATTTTGGTCCATTTGAGGTGGTTTGGGGGTGAGGGGGGAGGGTTGGGGGTTAATTAGGCAAAGCTAAAAAAAAAAAAATAGAATCGAGGCCTGGCCCGGCCCCAGGATTACCCGGGCCGGTTCCGGGCCTCCCATTTCTGAACCGAGGCCCGGCCGGGCCCGAACCGGAACCGGTCCACCCATAGTTTTAGTATATGTTTTCGTTGAAACTTGCAAGTAATTTCTGTGCTATATTTTCAACATATCGAATAAATGCTTTTTTACCCTGGGGTCAGGGTAGGGGTGAACTCGGGCCGGTTCCGGTTCGGGCCCGGCCAGGCCTCGGTTCAGAAATGGGAGGCCCGGAACCGGCCCGGGCCGGGCCTCGGTTCTATTTTTTTTTTTTGGCTTTTCCTAATTAACCCCCAACCCCCCCCCCCCCCCTCACCCCCAAACCACCCCAAACCACCTCAAATGGCCCAAAATACCAAGCCCAACCCAAAAACTTAAAAAAATTCAAAAAACAAATTAATAATTTGGCCCGAACCGGGCCCGAACCGGCCGGGCCGGTTCGCCAATCAAAGGGCCTGGGCCCGAACCGCACAGTAACCGGGCCGGGCCGACCCGAACCGTCCCCCGGACCGGTTCCCGGGCCGGGCCGGTTCAAACAGTAACCGGGCCGGGCCGGTTCCGGGCCGGGCCGCCCGGCCCGAGTCCATCCCTAGCCCAAACCAGGCCGGTTCCGGTTCGGCTTTGTTTTTTTTCTTTTGCTTTTGTAATCAATCCCCGACCCTCCCCCCCCTTCACCCCACCACCCCCAACCCCCCAAACACCCAACCCAACCTGGTAGAATACAAAAAATTGAAAAAACAAAAATAAAATAAAATTAGGCCCGAACCGGCCGCGCCGGTTCGCGTTTTAGGGGGCCCGAGCCCGCACCGGGAACTGGGTGGTTCCGGTTGGCCCGAACCGGCCCCAAGACCGGGTATCGGGCCGGGCCGGACCTAGGGGTGGACTCGGGCCGGTCGGCCCGACCCGGGACCGGCCCGGCCCGGTCACTGTTTGGCCCGGCCCGGCCCGTGGCCCGGTGGGTCCACCGGTTCGGTTTGGCCCGGCCCGGGTGCTGGGCGGTCCGGGCTCGGGCCCAGCTTTTGGTGAACCGGCCCGGCCGGTTCGGGTCCGGGCCGGATTTTAATTTTTTTTTTTTTTTTGAATTTTTCTTAAGTTTTAGGTTGGATTAGGTATTTTGGGCCATTTGAGGTGGTTTGGGATGGTTTGGGGTTGAGGGGGAGGGGGAGGGGTAGGGGGTTAAATAGGAGAACCAAAAACCAAAAAAAAAATATGTGGGCCGGTTGGCCCGGCCCAGCCCGGCCCGGTTTGGCCCGGAACCGGCCACCGGCGGTTTGGGCTCGGGCCTATAATTTCTGAACCGCGAACCGGCCGGGCCCAGGCCTGAACTGGGCCCGAACCGGCCCGAGTCCACCCCTAAGCCCGGACCCAAACAGTACCGGGCCGGGCCGCCCAGCCCGAGTCCACCCCTAGGTTAAGGGAGGGGGATTGGGGAACCCGGGGGGTAGAGGAGCTAAAACAGCTTCTATGGGGTTTAGAACACAATACCTTTTTATGGGAAAGTGGATTGACGACCAGTGAGCGGGATCGCTTCTCCTAGATGTCACATAAGTTTATATCACAATGGCATTTCGGTAAAAGAAATGAAATATTCGAATGTGATTTACGTATGTTACTAAATATAAAAAATTTAATTCTACTACGTAAATATTTATAAAACAAAAAATAAGATAAGAAATTGAATAGAAGATATAAGCAGAGATATTCAATATTATACTCTTAATACTCAATAAAATATGGATGATTTACATAAGTACATTAATGCTCAATTAACAAAAGTCAGGACTTCAACTAAAATTACAAAAATGTCACCGATTATACGGTTTACACCATACAGCTGCCATAGCTGGTAGGTACATTAACTCAAGAAATTGGGCAAGATTCAAATTAAATAAGGTCTAAGCTACCAATCTAATTTGTTTTCTTGGCATCATTGGTTCTAGCTTAAATTCAATAAGTCAAGTAGGTGCCATGAATTTTTTATCAAATAATTATTAAAGCATTACACGCTATAAATGGTTGTAAGAAAATTATACCATGAAATCTGTCTCAACAAGTTTGGTTGCTTCAGTTTGTGCCTTTGTGGTGTTTACTAATTTCAGATAGTACAGTTTCAAACTGAATCATATGAGCCACTGGCATTGATCTTAGATATGTTTCTAATTTTTATAATCAAGGTGTTCACGCCGCTATTAGTTACCAAGATCTATGTATAACCATCAACAATATTAATTGTTCACTAAATGCATCTCAAGGAACTTGAATATTTGACCTTTATGTCACAAATCACAACCAAAGTTCCTCAATCTTTTCTCTTACAAAAATGGACAAGACTACAAGGGGTTATTAGTGGTATTGACTTTGATCCTTGTATGAGTGGGATTGAGATTTCTCCCGTGCAGCAGAGTGCCTTGCGGTCAGGGACGGATCCAGGATTTCAAGTCAAGGGGGCGATTTTTTTTTTTCCGTTAGTATAGGGGGTGAAAAAAAAACCCACTAGTGTAGCGAGGCGACTTTTTCCGCTTGTGTAGCAGAGCGATTTTTTTTTCGCTAGCGTAGGACTGTGGCTAATTTTCATTCATTAAAGTCCATCAGTGATATTTAAATCTATTACATTCTACGTTTAAAAAATGGAAAAAATTTAATCTTATAATTGTGAGTGCTCTAAAATTGTATTAATACATTAAAGAGTAATAAATGACAAATCAAATGAAAATTATTTGAAGGTAAAGATTTTAAAAGGCACACATCAATCAAGACTTTTTAAATAACTTATGTCTTGTTTAACCATATGAATCTTATTAGAATAAAGAATTGGTTTTTGAATTTGTCTACAAGGATGTTGTTCGTGGGTCACCTGAAGTTTTCTTGATTTACAATAGTATGTATAAGATTGTTATTTTTAGAATAATATTAAACATAGTATTGTTAGTTCACATATATGGTGCATATTGTGTAATTTAATGTCAATAAATATTTATATTTTAGATTCACTTCACATGATCTAAAAACTGTTTAACTAGTGTGTCTGATATTTAATATTGTTTGATATTTTACAAAATTGAGTACTAATTGTCTAATAAAGACAATTCGACGCTACAAAGCTAGAAGTTTATATATAATAGGTATCATATGTCTTAAACAATGGCTTTTGCTATTCTTAAACAATTTAATTTTTTCTTTTCATAGAACTAGTTATTTCACCGGTGCGTTGCATGAGAATTAGGCTTCTCGATCATTTAAGATAACTTTCGAAAGACACATGTTTGGTAAATATTGTTCTAATGTTGCATAAATAATATAATACTCCCTCCGTCCCAATTTGTTTTGCAAAGTCAACATTTTTTTGTCAACCAATAATAAAAGTCAATCCTCCCTATTGATAATTAATTCAATTTTTAATAAGTGAAATTTACATATTCATAAACTACATTAAAATCTCTTCAAAGTTGTAAACTCCAAATTAGAATATAATTAAAAATTGACATCTTAATCAAGTGAACAAAATGAAACTGTTTGATCAAGAAAAGTCAAATTTGCAAATCATTTTGGGATGGAGGTAGTATGAGAAAGAATAATTATTTGAAAACCCGTCACAATTTCTAATGCGCTATCAAGAGAACCTTTAAAATTTGAAAACAAACAAAACAAACTTAACGTAACATGAACCATTTTTTATTTAAATAAAACAGTCCCTTTTTCTCTTTGGGAGAATAACTTTTTTAATTTGTGTATGAAATTAGGATCTGACCTTCTCATTTTAAATAAAAATAACTTGACTTTTCACAAATATGAACAAAAAAATCCTAAATAAGAGCATTGTTCACAAATGTGTATACCATTCTTTCAATTTCATATTTAAACGATTTCATCCTGTTTGATGAACAAAGGTGAAGGGTGGAACCGTGGAAAGCAGAAGATGGAGATCAGGCGGATGGTGGCGATGAACGGCTGGAAAGGACGGAGGATCGATGTTGAAGAACTTAAATGGATGGATTGGATGGCGATGAAGAACTGCTCAGGTGGACGAACACCGGCGACAATGTGTAGCTTGACATCGACTGGGGTTGATGATTTGGCCTGGATGGAATCGGGACGGGCAACGTCCCTACTCGCCTGGATTGCCTGGGTTGTGGATTCCTAGTACTCTCACGTTGAAGAAGAACTGAAGAAAAAGAAATGAAAAGGGGGAAATGAAAGAAGGTAGATTGTATGGTACCATATATACCTTTGTCCACATGGACCAATGAGAATGTTGCAGTTGAATTATTTAAATCTAAATTAAAAGTGATAAAGTGATGTGGTCCAATCAAATGAATGATAGGTACAGTACCTCATTTTTTAAAGGTGACAACTCCGGTACCTTTCTAAAAACAGGGGTACCGGAGTTGTCACCATGAAAGAAAAGAAAAATGGAAAATGAAAACCAATAAAAATGTGCCACGTGTTCGGCTGACCTACTGATCTGGTTTAAACAGGTCACTAGTTCATTTTGAGGAGATACTCTTTGTAATTTAGATTATATTAGAACTACTAATAATTGGGATTTAAACAAGAAGATCATCAATAGTTGTGAGCTTATGATTTTAATGTGAGTTTTTTCATAAAGTGGGGGTCAGGTTGATATGTGCTAGTCGGATTTCTGGCCATCCTGGTGGTGGTGGTGGTTGACGGAGGACTGGTGTGAAGGTACGTGGCTGGGGACAGTTCAGGGGGGATGGGCAGGAGGGTGGGGACTGAGGTTTGAGACTTGAGTGATTGTGGTGTGGAGAGGGGGATGGGCAGGGGGCTGTGTGGAATCTGGTGTGTAACTGCGTATGGCTTGGTGGGACGGGATTAGGGGCTGGTGCGTATGGGGTTAGGGGCGGGGCAGGAGCAGCGTTGGTGGCTTGTGACGAACAGGGGGTGGCAATGGTAGCTTGGGTTGTTGTTGGCGCTAGAGCGCCGGAAAAGGACTGTGGTAGTGTTACTGGGGCGGCGTCACCGGGGCGGTGTCACTGGGGCGACGTCACTGTGGGAGTGTCACTTTGGGGATGGTGCAAGCTGGGGCGTGGGGCCGGTGAGGTTAGGCGGTTATCACTGGATGAAGCGGTGTGACGGTGTAATTGTGCGGTGTCGGCGACGGTGTGGCCTATGGGATGGCTACAGTGACACGGGCGGACGTTATAGTGACACGGGCGGTGGCCGCATTGACACGGGCGGTGGCCGCAATGACACAGATGGTGGTCATAGTGACACGGGCGGTGGCCGCAGTGACACGGACGGTGGCCGCAGTGACACATGCGGTGGTTACAGTGACAGGGCGGTGGCGGCAGTGACACGGGCGGTGGTGGCAGTGACATAGGCGGTGGCGGCAGTGATATTTGATAGTGACATTAAAACAGGATAGTGACATTAAAATAGGGGAATGACATTAATATGACCTTCTTGATCACTCCCGTGACCTTATGGAATCTGTTAGCTATGCTTATCCATATCGGCACGTTCAAATTATAGGGTTTTCATCACCTATTTCGTTGTTGGTTCTTGGCTTAATAAAGATTGGACTTGGGCCGGCCCGCTGAAAGTCCTGACCCAACATGCACATTACTATTTCATCTAATGCACATTTAATATATAGTTTTAGTATATTTAATTGATATATATTCCCCAGAAATGTGCTTATTACTGTACTGTATTGTGATATTTATGTAAACTTGAATACTTAAACACAAACACTTGGTTACCATCCTTTTTATTAGATAAAGGTGTATAATTAAGACCTATATGGTAAAGTGTTGACAACTTTGTTATTTGACATAGGCGGTTTAGACGCCAAAGCCCCCAACTATTTTAGTTTGAGAATGGTGAGAGATGTATAACAATGAATAATCATTATCATCATAGTGGGGTGGGGATAAGAGGGGGTCGCATGTATGATGTCTTATCCATGTACTAAAGTACAAAAAGATTGTTTTCGGATGATCATAGTGAAAAATGGCATAAAAAATTGTATGGACTGACAGATGCTTCATAATCAAGAAGTGCAACATGTTTTGTGAACTATTTTGCTTTTTCCATCATATTTCCTAGCCATAAATAATGAGTCTTTGGATCCATCGCAAATGATAAAAATGTATAATAATGAATGATAGAAAATAAAGGGAGATAAGTGTGGAAAGTTAATTACTTAGAGTAGATAACTTATTGTATCCAAATTGGTATAAAGAATTGCAACTAATTTAGTTTTTTTGGCCAAGTCATTCTTTCTAACCTATATAGTACCTGCTTAATGTTAATGCCAATATCCTTGAATTGGGATGAGATTCGAACCTGTGACCTCCTCCTTGGGAGTGCCACAGTGATGTCATCAGACCACAAGGTACTTGGCGGAACTAATTTAGTTTGAAATCATAGACAAATGAATACATCTATACTTGAAGCTAAACATATATTTCAGTCCTTTATAACTTTGCTAACTTTCCTTTTTTCCATGTCCCAAAAACTTTATCACTTTCCATTTTAAACCATCAATTTGTGGCTCCTGTTATTTCTATATCTTCTGCACAAATCTCTACCACACAGTTTTTACTTTATTATTCTATTTGTCGATCAAACTTGGCAAATCTTTAAGGAACGGAGGGAGTATAAGCACACTTTACAAGTTATCCTAAAATGTGTTGATAAAATCAAATCTTGAATCTTGTTGTTCGAGTCAGGAACTCCTGATCGGAACCACCCTACGGAATTCACCGTTTGGGGTGGTTCTCGATAGAAATTTTTGATGAAGTGGTTTGAGCATGCTCTTCATCAAGTCTAGTTTATGCCCAACAAAATTTTAGTTTAAAATTCAATCGGGAAGACAGTTAAATAAATTATTGAAACATACTGCGCTTTTCAACATAAACGAATGCCTAGCTCACAAGTTAAGTCCTACAGTCGTAAATAGGATCATTTACCTCCCCAGGATCACTCCCCCAACCTAGAGCTTTTAGGATCATTTACCGTCCAATGATACTCTACCCCAACCTGGAGTATTTAGGATCATTTACCGCCCAAGGGTACTCTACCCCAACTTGGAGTATTTAGGATCAGGGTACTCTACCCCAACCTGGAGTATTTAAGATCATTTACCATCTGTGGGTACTCGACCCCAACTTGGAATATTTAGGATCATTTACCGCGCGTCAAAGAGTACTCCAACCTGGAGTATTTGGGATCATTTAGCGTCCGAGGGCACTCTACGTACCCCGCTCTATCCCTACAATAATCCTAACTCGGATATCACTTCATTCTTTCAACAATGAACGATACATAGCCCTATAGTCATATATTAATCCTTAGTAACAATCGTGGACGAGTCCCACCTGAACGAACCATTTAGGTTACCTAAAAACCTTCACTTGAGTTACTTAACCCCTATACCCGATCAAGTATAGGGTGGTGGGTATGTGCATTCAGTAAGCTAGTAGCTCATTTCCATGGGTTACCCGATCAAGTATACCTTATACCCAGTCAGGTATAAGGTTTAACCCGATGGTTAACGTCCATTTGACCGCCTAAATGAAGCCTGATTCTTATGAAATTTTATCCACTTGTACAACAAGTCAATCCTTTTTGGAAAAAGTGTTGAAAAATGGCATTAACGTCGAATTCTTTTTGTGTGTTATGGCAGACCGAACAAGAATAGAATATTTCGTCAAGTCCATGTTTCTTTTGATGCGTCACAACATCTTTTATAAAGTTGTTAACACCCGCCAAGAATTGAGAAATATTTTGTGATCCATACATCCAAATACGGGCCATCATATATAAACCTTTTTTTTATATTTCATAATAGTAGTCATTTTTATTGATTTAATCAAAGAACCGAAATTGTACTCATAGCCTTAATGTATATAAATTAATTATATTAGTAAAAAAGTCACACTACTTAAACACTTAGTGATAATTAATTATATAAATTTGGACAAAATTACTTACAAGTTACAACCTTAATTAATAACGTAAATTAAAAAGGGTATGGACATACCAAACTATGGGCGTAGGACATGCATCAACAGATCAAGAAAACGTCTTAGCAATAGTGGTATAGTCTTCAGTCAATTCAACGACATCAACTCACAATCCTAATTAAGATGACATGTATATTAGCATAACTAGTTTTGTACCCGGGCGTTGCCCCGGATGCAACTCCCATATGAAATATTTAGTTTATAATTTTGTGCAAATGTGAAATATATGTTTAGTACGAATTTCTTAAATCTCATTAACAAAAGCATTTAAATATGTATTAATTCGATATAATATTATATAATATATAAGAATTAAGAAGTTGGGATCCGTAAGACATCAGAATAACTAAATGGCAGTAAAATATTGAAAGTCCGTGCTTCTAAATTCTGGAAAACCTATCTATAGACAACATTTATAACATTGGAGGAAAATCCTTGACCTTTAGAACGAATCAAAATCTTCAATCCTTCTTTGCTCTTGACTCTTGATATGGCAACATATAATTGATCATGAGTGAACACATTTTTTTTGAGATATAGTCTGGCCTGAGATATAGACTGATATTAGCTCTTGTTGATGCTCATCGCAAAGCATACCATAACTGAGAATTGCTTCATCTGAAAATTAAAAGGCTGTGTTACGTCAGATGGAGATAACGACACTCTGGAAATGTGAACAGTTGCCCTCATATTTCTTCCAGTGATGATCTTTGCCTCCAACACATGTTTTCCGAGCTTGGTGAGAATCAATTTGGTTCCATTACATAATCATGTCGGCTAATCTATATTTCTCAAGAGCATAATGGGAGCGCCAATCTTTAGATGCAATTCGTGATCAGGCAGCCCCTAGATCGAGAGACTATTAAGAAATTCTAGTGTATACATGTCACTCTCACGACACAAACCGATATCTGAACTAAAAATGCTATCGAAGATGAGGTACGTGATTTGATCACCAAGGATCAAAGATAGCATGTAGTCAGTTGTTTGGCGAACCACGTCTAAAGTAGGTGCAAGTATCGCTCTAACCTACATGTAAGTTGGATTGTTGGGGCGTTCTTGTAGGTTAGGATAAGTCATATTAACGATAGCTGTTAGGTAGTTATCTTTCGCTTTGACTAGAAATTTATTCGGGATTTCCACCTTTGTTTACTGCTATGCCAGTGTTCCTTCTACAATACTCTGGATATCCATCTTCATTAATGGAGGTTGTGGGCCTCAAACACCTTGGATCATGTTTAGACCACACTGTCTATCATGCAAGGTGATCTTTGTTGAAATCTCTGCAAGGACCGTGTATCATTAATTTTT